AACGTTGTGTTCTCTTTCTTCTTTTTTTCAGCATGGAATAAACCTATTACTTGTTCCTTTGCAGCCTACGCATGCTGACGCAGCTACCCACCTGAACTACAGTTTTGGTTTGTCATGTATGTATGAAATCAACATATTTAGATTATAATGAAATCCTGCTGCAAAAGATGAAACAAGAGTGTGCCTATTAGTAATAACCTGCTAATGAAGAAAACCCTGGAGCTAAAAGTTAAGGAGCTTTGGAAGTAGCATTCACTTCCTACCTTAGAAGATGGGTTGTTTAGTTGTCACATCACCTCTTACCTGCAAATTTGCACAAAAGGGATACAGAGACTCATCGACAGTGTTGATCTCATTGACATGAGCTGATGAGTTCAGAGTGGTGGTGGACCTGCCTTTGGAACCTTGGAACGGTGTTGTTGTAGAAGTTGTCGTCTGTACAGGTGGCATAGGTTGCCATACACTCAAATCAGTACCATTCCCAAAGGCCTGGATAGCATTCCCTATAAGAAGAAAATGAAAACAGAGACAGAATTCAGCTGTCAAATATCTGAGGATCCATATAATTATAGGGCTAAGAAGACATAATACTGCACAGAGCACATGAGATTTAGTAAACTGTTAACATTGGAGTTGAGGAACTCTGTAAAACATGTCCAGAATGATTTTAACCACAAGGACAGATTGTATCAGAAGTGATATGACCAGTGTTCCTATTACACAATGTGAAATAAAAACTATAGACAATTAACAGCTCCAATGTAGGAAGAAACTTTTTTCACTGTGAGAACTCTGTGCTTAGGTTCTATAAAAATGAGAACAGGAAAACTAAAGCGATCACAAGTTATTTTTGTTTAAAAAATCAAAAACTAATAGAAGAATAAACTTTGCGAACACAAATTTAAAGGATTTTTTTCACAGTGTATAAGGACATTTTTTATCTTTAATTGGAACAAAAAACATTAAGCAATTATTCTGCAGGAACCTGAATAGCTTAAGAATGCTTATGACCAATTTATAATACCAGTTAATAATAACACACTTTTCCTTTGAAGTAAAACAGTTAAAACCATTGATCCTTTAGTAGTTATGTCTCTGAGGAATAATTATGTATTTTCTCCTTGGGTCACTGAATACTTTTAACTTAGAGAAAAAAGCCCAGAAGTATCTTTTCAACTAGTTTGTTCACATGTTTTGTTTATACTTAATAGTGGCGTTATCTTCACATGTTCTAGATTACAGTAGAAATAAGTTCATTTTTATTCTGGCCAAAATTCATTTTCTCTGCCTTCCCACAGTTTTGTATATTTAACATTAGGAAGCAATTATTATTAATAGTAACAGGCTAAGCAGTGATATTTTCTAACAGTGATGGCAATACGTTATTTATAAGCATATTTTAAAATATAAGCTCTACGTGCTATGCAATAGCCTGTTGCAAGATAGTTGCAACAATTCTTTCTGTGGCGCGACATCCTTTGTTTAAGAAATTCAATAGGAGGTTGGTAGATTAATAGGTTGATAGGTTCCTCTTGTACAGTATGTTCAAGAAGTGCCTTTGTGAATTAAATTAGTCCCTTATTTTCTATATGATCCAGTAAAATGCCATAACCTACAGTACCTATCAAAAGCTGCAACTATATCCACAAGAATCAGCTAACGTAGTAATAGCTGTTTAAGTATTGTGCAGCACTACCTTTCATAAACCTCAAAAGTGAAGGTTTAAATAGCTTAACTTTAATCACAATTACTAAATTTGACAAAAATGAGCTAATAAGAACCAGGATTTTAGTTATTAAGCACTTTGGTTTCCAACTAGCTCTAACATAGATGTAACAGCAGCAGATTTTAAACCTTTAGTTACAGTACTTCACTGAAGTACTAGGCTTGCAGGTCCCTTTTATTGTTACATACATGCAAATAAAAGAGTCAGTGGCTAAAGCTGTTAAGCTGTAACTTCACCATGACATCAAGCACAAGTAAAAACCACCACTGATCCTGAACTCAGTCAGAGGGGTAGTGTGTGTGAAACAATTCCATTAGCAGCCAACCAGACACCAAGTCAACAGCTGAAGAGACATGCAGATAAACAGTCTATATAAGCAGAACAAGCTGCTTTGGTAAACATTTACTGTTTGTTTGTGTTTTTGTTAGCTGTTGTTGGGACTCTACAGTGGAATTTACATAATTATTCAATACTCGCAATGTTCATATCATGTCATATGGTCAGTTCAGGAATACTCAAAATCTGCAAGGATTACTCTTAACTATGAGACGGCACATCTCTAACACATATAGACTACTGTATAAGCACAAAGTGTTTCAGACTCACAGAATTATTTATTAAACTTGAACTTGCAAATGTTTGTCACAGGAGAAGACAGAATTGACACCTCCTGAACCCGGAGATCTAAGGCATTGGTTTAAATGAAACAATCCATTCTAATTGTAAAATAAATTTGCTGTCTTTTACGTTTTACTTTAGAAACATCTATCATATTTTTTATGTGATTGATAATATTTCTCTTGAGCAAAATACAGTAGGACCAACAAAACTGCATGTACAAAATATTTTAAATTGTGTCTTGTGACTTTCTCTTCAGGATTGCTGGTGTAAATTAAGGTCATTTGAATTTCGAATATCCACAACTTAAAGGAGTATTTTAAGGGCATGGCCTGCTGTCTTATACTGTATGGTCACTGGCTACAACTGTACAGCCTGTTGCTCCTCTCGATAAATTTGTTTACATCAGAGGTGATTAAATGGAAAATTTAGCAGATGCAAAAAGCTTTTTTAAAATGTAAAGCACAAGCTTTCCATAATGCATTGATCCTGGGTCTTCCCATTCAGATCTATGGATTCTGCTCTTAGCTGCTATTGAGGAGGAAATCTAGGGCCTTACTTTAAGCATTTTATGAATGCCAAAGTGGGAAAGCTATGTAAGCTCTGATGTGCCATCTTTCCTGCCATCTTCAAAGCACACTGTACCCATGCATACTCCAATCCTATGTTTGGCACTGTGACTGATAAGTATTAAAAGGAATATTTTTTTAATGAATCATTCTTGTCCTTCACAATATCATTCATAACCACTCATGGAGTAAGTAGATTGTTTAACCTTTTTAAATTTATACATATTTATCAATATAACAATATTCATTTTTGCCATTAATGTAATGTCTACAAACAAGACTAAATGTTTACCATTAAAACAAAAACACAGTGCCTTTTCTTTGCTGAACTGAATGCCCTTGGTGGGTATGTTTTCTAATTTGCTTTGACATTGGTGAATTCTTCCTCTAATATGACTGATGAGATAAACACTCAGTTAAAATGTTCCTTTATGTATAGCAGCTATCTGTCACATAGGGAAGTGATAAGCTAAACTTATATGAGCTATTACAAATAAGAGATATAAGAATGAAGTTAAGCTGATAGCTGTAGGATTTGAGTTGTCTCCTCAAAAAAAATAACAGATTTAGACTTGAGGCTACACATTCCCAGTTTACTAAACTTTGTGTTTTTGGCATGATTTGGCAACTTTTACAGCCAATACTATATAATAGTCCAGGGTTGCATGCTTGGTCCATTGCTCTACACCCATGACTGTAAGGCCAAACACTCCATCATCAATTTTGCCGATGACACACCAGTTGTAGGTCTGATCACAGACAATGATGAGAGGGCCTACAGGGATGAGGTCAATCTCCTTACAACGTGGTTCGAAGACAACAACCTCACCCTCAACATCAGCAAAACCAAGGAGCTGATAGTTGATTTCAGAAAACTACAAAACGGACATACCCCTATCCACATCAATGGGACTGAAGTGGAAAGGGTCAGTAACTTCAAATTCCTTGGCGTCCATATCACCAAGGACCTCACATGGTCTCTCAACGCCACCTGTCTGATCAAGAAAGCGCAACAGCACCTGTACTTCCTAAGATGGTTGAAGAAGGCAAAGATATGTCCCCAGATCCTCACTAACTTTTACAGATACACTACAGAAAGCACACTGACAGGTTGCATCACAGTGTGGTATGACAACTAGAGTATTGCTGACCGCAAAGCCCTACAGCGGGTGGTGAAAACTGCCCAGTCCATCACTGGGGTTGCTCTCCCATCCATCCAGGACATTTATGACAGACGGTGCTTGAGGAAAGCTCTAAGCATCATCAAAGACCCCACGCACCCCAGCTACAGACTGTTTGACCCTCTACCATCTGGAAAATGGTACCGGAGCATTCAGGGCCCAGACTACCAGACTCAGAGACAGTTTTTACCCCCCCCCCATCAAACTATTAAACAGCCTCTCTCACACTGAAATCTACCTTTACCTCACATGTCATGAAGCTCACTCCCCATAATTTTCTATCCTTTATTTCATTCTGTTGATGTATGATTTTGCATATCTGATGTTGTTTTGCACATTACCTGTTACCTGTTGTTGTTTTGCACATTGCCTGTTGTCTCTGTCTTTCTTTTCTTATACAATTGTATTCTTGTTATTTAGAGCTAGCTAAATAGCATACACTGTACCTGTATATGAGTATAATGACAATAAACTTGAACTCAAATTGAATAATAGTGTTTATCTGTATTTAAAGGTTTTCGTAGCACAAATTTCTTCTGTACTTCAGTACCTATTAGGCAAAAAGCCCCACAGAATTTCAACTAAATTACAGATTGGGCCTTCCATTTTATCTGCAATCAGGTAAGGAGAGGGAAGGTACTGTATGTGCGCAAACATCTGCCTGTTAATTGTTTCCTGTTAGAAATCTAAATATGTTGACCTCAGTAGTCTGCAAACATTACTTTGATAAGTACTGTATGATGACAGAAGTGCACTCTGAGGTGTATTGAATATTTATTACAATTAATCTTCGTCTCTTAAAATAAATGTATTTCTATTTCTATGTATTTCTACAAGTAAACACAAAATGCAGTTTTTAAATGAAGGTTTTTATTAAGGGGAAAAAAATTCAAACCTACATGGCCCTGTGTGAAAAAGTGATTGCCCCCCCTGTTAAAACATAAATCAACTGTGGTTTATCACATCTTAGGAAAACTGAGTTCAATTTCTTTAGCCACACCCAGGCCTGATTACTGCCACACCTGTTCTCAATCAAGAAATCACTTAAATAGGACCTGCCTGACAAAGTGAAGTAGACCAAAAGATCCTCAAAAGCTAGACATCATGCTGGGATCCAAACAAATTCAGGAACAAATGAGAAACAGAGTAATTGAGATTTATCAGTCTGGAAAAGGTTATAAAGCCATTTCTAAAGCTTTGGGACTCCAGCGAACCACAGTGAGAGCCATTATCCACAAATGGCAAAAACATGGAAAAGTGGTGAACCTTCCCAGGAGTGGCCGGCTGACCAAAATTACCCCAAGAGCACAGCAACGACTCATCCAAGAGGTCACAAAAAAACCCACAACAACATCCAAAGAACTGCAGGCTTTACTTGCCTCAGTTAAGGTCAGTGTTTATAACTCCAC